GTGCTAGTCTTCCACGCAAAAATCTGAAATGTGCTAGTCTTCCACGCGATTAGTGAAATGTGCTAGTCTTCCACGCGAGAATCTGAAATGTGCTACTTTTCGACGCGAATAATGAAATGTGCTAGTCTTCGACGCGAATAGTGAAACGTGCTAGTCTTCCACGGTAATTTGAGATGTGCTACTCTTCGTTGGGAGCGACGAAATAGTCCAAGCCAATTGGTTAAAAAGCAACGCCTTTAGCACATACCTTGTAGGGTATTTCCTCGTCCTCCTCAGCATCACTAAACTGGTGTGAATCCGATTCGGTCATTGCTAAATCAATCTTTAACTTTTCTTGGTAGGTAAAAAATTTACTAAAATTAAAATTAAACTAAACAATTGGAGGAATCTACACGTGCTGCTGCTTGGCAGCGTTTAGCTAGAAATTTCAATGAACTGCTTCTTAAATACTAATCATTCACAATCGATTTGTTGTGAAATTTAGATTTCATAAGGTGGTGCGAAGTGGTTACGTTAACGTTACAGCACATCATGAAATTGATACACTCGAAAGAAATGTGATCATTCGAAATAATAGAAACGAATGCACAGAAACATATGACTACTTTATTGGGTACTTCGTTACTCTGCATGTGGATGCAGAGATAAAATTTTGCAAGATTTCACTAAAATCGATTCCACAATGGTTTACAATACGTAACACAACGCACATGAATTAACGTTTTTTTTTGTTTTTTTTTCAACGATGTTTTAAGAGGTTCTATCCAGTTCTTCATTCTTTTATTGCTTTGCTGTGAGTCTTACGGGTCTATTCTGCGCTGGTAATACAAATTTTGTCATCTTATAAACTGGTAACAAAGTATTGCCCAGTGAAATATGCAATGCCAGAAATTTCCACAATTCTTCATAGCTGAATTTTAACTGCATTGCCAACGTACCTAGAATCGCGGTGACAAGAAGTGGCAACATTTTTTGGTAATAAAACTTTCCGGTTACAAAATCATCGGTAACGTGCAGAAACGTTATGTTATATTCCACGTAATTACACGTAATGGAAAGTTACGATGTATGACCAAGATATCTACAGAGAACAAAGGGTGGCATTATTGGTTGCCATGTCCTTTCGTCTTTTAATTCGCATTTGTTTACTTTGAATAATCAAAACAAAACAGCGAATGACATTCAGATCAGCTGTTTGTAAGACGCTGTAAAAAAATCACAATAGATTACAATGGAATGTGAGTTTTAAGTAAAATGTTTCCCATTCTTTGTTAATAAATAAAACTATTTATACATCCGGCTTTAAAATCACAAAGTGATATTCAAATGTTTGTGCTTGCTGAATTGAAAGATACCATTCGTATAGCGCCAGATCAATTCCATTTGAAATTGGTTGAAGCGATACGAGACGAAATCAACAGGAAGTTAGCCAATAAGGTAAACTAAAAATGACATATGAAGTGTTTTTGATGTTTCCACCATCAAGTAAATTGCAGGTTCTGTTGAATCTAGGCCTCTGCATTGCGCTCAAAGACATCGTATCGCTCAAAGATTCCATTATACTGCCTGGCGATGGCGCTTCACATACCGAAGTTCTCTTCCGCTACATCGTCTTTCGGCCAACTATTGGCAGCATACTTACAGGCAAAATACGTAGCTGTAGTCGAGAAGGTGTACATGTAACACTTGGTTTCTTTGATGATATACTCATACCACCATCCGCTTTACAACATCCTTCACGTTTTGAAGAAGCCGAACAAGCCTGGGTATGGGAATACCCTTTGGAAGATGGTGCTAAGCACGATTTATTCATGGATATAGGTGAACCGATAAAATTTCGTGTATCACGTGAAATTTTCGAAGAAAGCTCACCAATAGGTCCTCCTAAAACAGATGCTCAGCAAGCAAGCACATCGGCAGCTGCTTCGGCAGCGGCGGCAGCGTCAACACAGCAATCTGAAGTAAAGACGCCTTATAGAATTATTGTAAGTGGAAAAATGTTACGCTCACAATTTGAAGAATGTTTATGAATTTCTCTTTCAGGCTGCCATTAATGAATCTGGATTAGGCGTGCTATCTTGGTGGGATCAACAAACTCAGGGTGGAGATGAGGGTGACGAAAACGAAGATGAGGATAATGTGGAATATGAAAATGACGAAGATGGCGAGGGTGCTTATGAGGAATGAAATAAATGTTTTATTTTACCAGCCAAATTATAATTTATTATTGTTCTTTGTACAAGTCGGAAAGAAATTCAATGATGATAAACACTCCACTTGAAAGCAGAAGGCGCGGGAGTGATAATTATATGATCTCTTGCTTAAGCCAGTGAACGGAAGTAACGGCCACAATGCCCAAGTTCTGAAGCTGAGCTGTGGATATGTTTTTCGTTCGTCAAATCAAGGGCTAACGAAAGGTCATTAACGGCAGTCAGCTGAAACACGCGCCCACGCTAGAGCAATTCTTTAATAACTTAATTCGCATGTACTAAGAACATTTTCTTTGGCAATCTTCTTTCAAAGGTTTCGACTTGTGAATTTGTTTACACTCCTTTTGCAAAAACTTAATGCTATGACGAATAAAGTTTGTTAAATTGTTCGTCGATATTTAGAACTCGATCAACTCAGCCCGTAAATCACTCCCTTCATGAAAACAATTTTTATTACAGTTATTTTCCACTTTAAAGTATTTTATTTTCAATTTGCATATCAATTGTGTTCTTTGCATGCGTTTGTTTACTTCTCTAGAGATAATTTCTATTTTAGCTTCTTGTTTTAACAAACTATTTTCCATTTTAAATTTATCACTTTATTTAGAAACAGATTTCATTTTCAATACTTGCATTAACCCGCTTCCTTTTGATTTTTCTCCATTTAAATTGCATATTTAATTAAGGAATCGGATTGTATTTTTCTTGCAGAGGGTAGTTTCTACTTATCGCTTTTTATTAATTGTACAATGTATCTTAAAATTTCCATTTTGCAAGTTTACCGTTTTTTTTTTTGGAAATTTTGTTTCACTCACAATTATGTATTTTTTCCTTTAAATTGAAGTTTCATACTTTGTTTAAAGTTAAATTAACAACTAGCTTAGTAGATTTAGTATTAAAATATAATTTTAAGTGAAAAGATTTAAATTTAATATGATGTGTTTAAATTATATTATGCTTAAAAGAAATTTTGCACTTGTCTTAGCCTTGGTATGTATTGCACATTTGGTTTTTTTTGGAACAATCAAAATAATGTTTTTTTTTTTGTTTTAATTTTATGGGTGAAACATACATATTTTTATTTTGGTATTTGCATACATAATTTTTCTTTCATATTTGATCTGCCATTTAAATTTTTTTTGTTATATGAAAAGTGTGCCTTTCTAGCTTACAAATATTTAAACAATTGGTTTATTTTTATTTTGCAATTACGATTCGGCTGATCTAAAAATCATTTAATTTCACATTTCTTCGATTTTAGTTAGTTCTTGAGTTGCATACATACTTTGGTTTGAATCTGATTAATTTGATTTTTAGTTTGAGATTCACATATTTATGAATGTTCATACATAAATACATACATATATTCATTTCCATGCATTTTGTATGTATGGATGTACGTTGGTATATACTATGCATTTTAGTGCGCCTTTCGCACTCTACTTGTTTTTGCACTTGCCGTAAAGTTAGTTTTACCATTTGCCCTTATCTTCTTTAATTTTCTTGTTGTTGGTTTCATGCGTTCCTTCTACTTTTTTAAATTGATTTTATCACAATTCAATGCTTCTTGATGTTTTCATACTTAATTTTTAATTGGTTTCGTTCTCTTCCGCCATATTTTCTCAATACATGCATGTATGTATGTACATTAGATGGTACATTAAAATTTCTTCCAAGCGATTTTGAACGGTCACTATGAAAGTATATCAGGAGTGTACATCCTTTTCGGTACCCTGTAAAACAGCTAAATCGGGGCTTTCCATAACTTTATGTTCAAAATAGCTTGGAACAAGTTCTGCCTTATCCTGAGTTTCACACCAAAATTTCTATTCCACCCATAGTAAATACCAATGTACCATAGTGAAAAGTAAACCTGTTCGGGGAACGGTATAATGTACATATGTATGCACATTAAGGCTGTGCATTTTATTGATTATTAAAAATTTGAATTAAACATAAAGTAAATAACTCAATTATTCGATTAATTGGAAATTATGATTACTCAAAAGTTCAGTTACTCGAGTAATCAAGATTTTGATTAACCAAAAACAAAAATATTTGAGTAATTTGCTACACGATTAATCAACATTATGAGTAACTATTTACATATAAAGTAGTTGAAGTTCCTTGATACTTTGAAAACAACGTTTCTGTTTTCAAAAATAAAAATGAAATATTTTTTCATATACAGAATGTAAAAAAAAATAAGCATTTTTCAAAGCAAACTCTTTTAACGAGCAAAAATAATTTTTTTGAGTAATCGTATTTCAAGTAATTCGATTAATCATCGTCTTGAGAAATCAAAATCTTGTTTACTCGAGTAATTGATTAACCGAATAACTGATTAACCAACTTGCTCGAGTAATCGAATAATCGCACTGCCCTAATGTACATGCAATATTTTTTAAATTCTATTTTGTGAATTTCTGATATTCTTTGTCTTCGTTTAGATATTTCTGTGACTTTTTAACATTTTTTCCCCCTAATTTCGCTTCGTGCTCGATTCGTTATGCTTTATTCCTCTTAACCTTTTTCATTTCTTTATTCTTTAATTTCGGGTTCTATCCCACCTTTCTACAACGAATTAGCTTGCGATGGTTCTTTTTTGTAGTTATTTGTTATGCTTGTGACATTTTTCGTTTTGGAGTTCGTTTTACCCCTTATTTTAGAAAAACCGTTTTCTATTTATTCGTTATGCCTTATTTTAATTTATATTTATATTTATATTTATTTTTATTTATTTTATTTTTTATTTAAATTTTTTTATTTAATTTATGATGCTTTTCTTTTACTTGATCGTATTTAATTATGTATTTTATTTCATACTTACATAGTTTTGTTTTACTTTATTTTATTAAGTTTAATTTCAGTTAAAAGCTTTAATGTTATTTGTTTGTCATATTTTGTTTTGTTCATTTTGTTTAACTTAATTTAATTTAATTTTTGTTTTTATTATTTTCTGGCCTAATAAGAATTTATGTTCAATATAAATTATTTTATTTTAATAAGTTTTATTTTATTTTCTGTTTTAGTTATTTGCTTGTTTATTTTATTTGTTTTTTTTTTTAATTTTCTGTCAATAAAATTTATTTGTTATATTTTATTTTGCCTTATTTTATTTCACGTTAGTTTTTTTTTATTTTTCAGTTTATACTTTTAATTTGTTTGTTCTTTTCTTGCTTTGCTTACTCTTTATTTCTTGTTTCCGCCTT